AGCAATACCCCAGCATCCAGCCCTGCACCCCCGCTCCCCTTGTCCAGCCCCGCCTCCCCCAATTCAGACCGGACTCTGTTCCCCCTCCCTCACATCACTTTGGGCCTGACCCCGTTCCCCCTGGAGTCTGGGTTTGGGGGCGTGACCCCTGCCCCCCCCTTGCCGTGGTGGCCCCAACCCTGTTCCCCGTGCTCATGCCACTGCTGCAGCCTCCTCCCCCTTTCCCCCTCTCCACTGAAGAGCCAGGCCTGGCCCCCACCCTCCCCACCACCATTGTGAGGCGCTGGGCTCACCTCACTGCCATTGTGGGGCCTGACGCCCCCCCGATACCCTCCATTTTGAGGGCAGGCCAGGCCCAGTATGCCCCCTTCTGCCACCTTCAAGGACCAAGGGGCGGGCAAGGAGCAAGGGCCGGGGGACCCCCGTTCCATCTGCTCCATTGCTGTCACCTCCAGGGAGCAGGGCAGGGGAGGCAAGGCCAGCTGTGCTGGTCTCACCTCCCACCCCTGCTGCTCTGTCCCGTGTCCCCACCAACATGGCAGTCCTCCGCCGTGCTGCCACCTCCTGTCCTAACGCTGTATCTGCACTCTGATTGATTGTTGCCATCAGCCAATCAGAGTGCGAATAAAGCGTTATTGACAGACAGACTACAGCTTTTACAATTAGAATTTTGTGAAACATTTTCATTTAAAAAAATATAAGCTCTTTAAGGGATTTCTACATGGTTGCAAAACAAAATCTTACTCTTCACTGAGACAGTGAAGACTGTCATAGAATAAATGAAAAAAAAAACACCCATTAATTTATCTATCAAGAGCTTTGATGAATATTTATTGAACACCATAATTTATGAAAGCCTGAAAACCTATTCGTATTTTATATAGTTTTTTTAAATTGCCTTACCTAGTTTATGCCTTAATGAACGCCTGATAGTCAGGTCACTTTCCACAAAAGTATCTGAAAAGACAATACAAAAATATAACAGCTGGGGCTTCCTTCTCTTTGTAAAATATATCAAACTAAACCAGAGCTGTCCAACTTGTAACCAGCGAGGGATCACACAGACTATATCAGTGCAAGTCTTAACCCCCTAAACTGCACTGTACACACTGCCCTCATCCTCCAGCTTCACTGTACACACACCCAAGCCCTTATCTTCAGCTCTCTAGCAATGGGCTTCCCCGCTTCACCATTGGCATTCCAAGGCAGCCAGCTTCCTTGGCACCATAGGCTTTGCGGTGGTACCCCTGGGGCAGGGGCAGGAAGTAGAAGCTAAAAGAGGGAGGGGGATCCCAAAGACTAGATGGGAAGGAGCAGCAACCAGATGGAAGCCCAGGGGCTGAAAAATCACTCTTTACATCCTGCATGTGGCCTGGGGACCTCCACTTGGACAGACCTGAACAAAAGAAAAGACTTCCAAAGTACTGATTGAATTTAGAGACAAAGGCCCCAATGAAACTCACTGAAACTTAAGCTTCTAATTCCTTTCAATACATTTGAAATTTCAGCCAAGAAAACAAGCAGAGACCGTTTGACTGTGGTCAGAGTAAACTTTTAAAAGTACATAAAAGCTGTGTAACCATAACCATGCTATAAACGTCATACACTCAAAAATTAGAAAGTTTAACTTTAATTCTGTCCCCACGTACATTTGCTTTGAGAATTTATTATATGTTCACATGATATCATTTTCCACAAAGCCCCTGTTTCATCCAGATTCATTATCTTCACATCCAAATCCAACCCAAAGCTACTGTATTTCCATCCAAAAATTATGTAAAATCTATAGCTGGCAAGAAGTACCACAATTATTATTTTCTGTGCTCCTTTCTTATGCGCATAAGAAAAATGCTACCAAAACATACCTGAAGATGAACTGTCCAATTCACAAGCAATGGGCTTGTCATTTTTTGAAGTATGTGTAACATACTGTGTCTGAACAGGCCCACTCAAAAAAAGAAAACAAAAATTGTATTAACATAAAAGAATAACTTTGTTTACAAAGCCACTAATAACCAAATTTCTAAGTCTTATTTCATAACATATCATCACTTTTTCCTCCTAAATGTGTTAAAATATTTGTCAATAAAATAAGAAAACCATAAGCAAGGAGACAATGTGAACATTATGTTGTACATTTGTGGTCTTAGACAGAAAACTAGAAAACAAATAGTACTTCTGTCCTTACAATTAAAATCAGGGAAAAAAAATCAGATGTAGAATATGAAGGCATCTAAGCTTGAAAAAAGAAAGGACATTGAACTTTATGAATTCCTTGCATGTTCCAGATAATGCAATGAACTTGGTAAATTATTTTGCCTGAACTGTAATAATGTTGGACTGAAAGAGCTAGGATGGACTGATATAACACACTGAGATCAGCTAAAACAGAAAAACAGCATTAAGAGACATGCAAATTTCTGCACCAAGGAGCACAGAACTTGTTATCCCAGACTGCTACATCTTGAGTAAACTGTTAAATACTAGTTCTATATTGTGCATGTACATGACCCTTTGAAGTCCATCCCAGTTTTGGTCCAACGTTTTTGCAATTCAGGCAAAATAAACTACCACAGGTCTCCCCTGCTTGCCCCTTCCCCTGCCCTTCCCCGAGGGGCAAATGCCAGAGCTGACCCACACCCTGCCCCAGGCTGATACTCAACTTAAGGTGTCTGCTCTCCCCCTCCCACTCCAGTGATTGCAGGGGGCAGTGGAGAAGACCCCATCTTGGATTTAAGTAAATATGGAATTTACCAAGCAGAATTTAAAAGGAGCAATCTTAACTGGGATCAGAGCAGCAAGCTTCACAGAAAAATAAAGCAAAATCTTCACAACGGCTCATTCATCTTAGTGTGAAACATCTGCCACATTATTGTTTGTAACAGTACAGCATTGAGGAGTCCCAGTCATGGCCATAATGGTCATTGTGCTAAGTGCTGTTACAAATACAAAACAAAAAAATTGTTCTTGTCGAACACAGCTGTTGTGTCTTAGGGCTACAAAAAGTATTAAAATTCCTGTATACAACAGTGGTAATTACCTGTGATGATGCATTGTTTCTTCAGATACTGAAGAGCTTCTAGAAAAAAAATGCAACTTGTTAGAAAGTTTACTGAAAGTAAATAAACCTCTCCTGTAAAGAGAGAGTATTTAGGTGGTTTTAAAAAAAAATACTAATACCAAATAAGTGTACAGTACTTAGCTTGGCAGAATCAACTAAAAGATTCTCAATGTTATTGCCTATAAAAATAAATATAATTACAAACATTATATCAGCTATATTATAGACGATTATTAACTAGTTATATTTCCTTTTAAAAAATGTAATGCACGTGAGGCATGCAAGTCGAAAGGGCTGCAGCTGCACATATGGTTTTGAAAGGTACCAGAGTCGTGGGACCCCAGAACTGGGGAGAGGTTCCCCAAATCTCAAGCTTCTGGAATCCCAAAGCTTTTGAAAACTGTGCAGTTTTCAGAAGTCCCAGGGTGCTGGGAGCCCAAGACTGGAGAGCCTCTCCTCAATCCCAAGGTCTTGGTGCCCTAGGATCTTTAAAAACAGCATGTGCAGTCCCAAATGCAGGGCTGGCAGGCGTGTAGGTATGCCAGTGCCAGGCATGTGGAGACAACTGGCTCCCTTCCACTCGGCAAGTTCAAAACCACAACAGCTGGCAGGCACTCAGCTTTGAAAGTACCTAGCAGTGGAAAGGAGGCAGCCAAATATAAACTGAAATCTGAGCTCTCTCTTGACAATACTCTGCATAAGAGTTACGGGATTTTTCTATAGCTTAATTTGACGGAAGAGTTTAATATTAAAAACATCTTCATGGTAATCCTTTTGGACTGAATCAGCTACTGTAATACTAACAGAATTCTTCACAAGAGATTGCAATAGGTTCCTGTTGCAGAAAAAAAAAAACGGATTTAGTTCATGTTTCATTAGGCCTCTAACCTTAGCTATTTATTACCTATATTATATTTAGTTCTAGGTTGCCATGTGCATTTTAAATTGTTTGAATACTACCTCGTACTTTTCCTGGAAAATTAAGCTGCACACCTTTTTTATTTTTTTTTTTTAAACCCACACACAAAAAGTGCTTACTGTGACCTATGCACATTCCTCTTTTTTTGGTCTTTTTTTGTTTTTACAGATACATCCACCTTCCTGCATTTTTGCTGTGCCATGCCTTGAAGAGAAGAGTCCTCGTGGACTGATGCACTGCTAGTTTCAGTATCTTCAGGACCTGAGCACACCATTTTATTTATTTTTCGAGTCCTCTTACAAGATGCCTTCCTTGGAGACTTGGCTGATTCTCTTTTCCCACCACCAGCATTTGGTGTACTGTCTATGAAATTCTGTAGAGATTCCTGAAATTTGGCAGGGCTTTTGATACAGACACCATCAACTGATCCTAATGAATTTAACCTATGTTTAGGTTTTAACAACTTCAAGGACTTTTGTGATGCAGAAGTAAGTGTTTCCCGCTGCAATGATGGGATGACCACCTCATCTGATTGTAAAAGTTCACTTTCATTCATTTCCTCTTCAGACTGATTTACAGAACTCTCCTCTGAGACTTTCACTCTCAATCTTCTACTGGTAGCTTTCTGAGCAGGCTTCCTAACTTTGTTTTTTTTATCTCCCAGTTTTTCAGGTGATTTAACTTCTGAAAGTTTCTGCTTATCAGTTTGTTTCTTGTGGGACGAGTAGGGAGCATTTTTTGAAATGGATTGGTAATAATTTTGAGAATAATGATTCTCTTTTGAAGAAAGAGCCTGCTCTGATGAATGTGAAGCTGTATTTGAAGACCCAGATGAATCTTCTCTTGTTCTGTAGTATGTATTTGTGCTTGATTCAACAAGTGGCACAGTAAATGTTTGGTCTTTCTGTTTCAAAGCTGTGGTATTTTTCTGATTTGGGGTCTTGGCAGATTTCTGTATGTTTTCATCATTTTTAGTCTTTTCTGTCAATGTACAAAAACAAACATATTATCCCTTTTGTCTTTATAAGAAGGTAGAAATAACAACTATACAAATAAAACTATCATCAATTGAAATATCATAAATATAACTTTCTTAGTTGGCAATTTTCACCTAAGGCTTGTAAAGGATCATCATCTACTGAACAGCCAGTATACAACCAGCTGTTCACCTACCAAAGTCCCTACCTAGATAGATTTGCCACAATTTTGCAGGGCTACTTTCCATTACTCCTGAAATGCTGATTGCCTCCACTTAGCAATAGCTCCTTTACCCCAAGATGTGAATGGAATACTGCAACTCTTCCCATAAGAAAGGGAGAGCAGGTTATCAAAGGTACCTTAACAGCAAACCCCATAGCAGGTGTGGTAGGAAAAAGAGCCACTGTCACTTCCTTCATTGCCACCCCACATTGTACTCTGCCTCCAAGACTCAAGCAGACCTCTCCAAACCTGCCTACTACTTTTGACCCCACTATAAAACTTATAAGAGAAATTGAGGAAAAGAGGGGTTTACTTTCCTAATTTCCTTTCAAATTTCCCCACTGCCTAAAATCAGTCAAAACCTTGCT